GTGCATGAGGCGTACGTGTGGCTGTACGCCCCCCAGCCCATCATCAGCTGGATCAGGGAGAAAGTGAGGGAGTGGAGCCAGGAGTAGGACACGATCACAAGCGCGTCCCGGTAGCGCATCTTGCTGGAATACCTGAGAGGAAACACCACCGCCACCCACCTGTCCACGCTGAGCGCGGCCATGCTCAGCATGGCGTTGCAGGTGATGAAAGTCTCGGTGAAACTCACGGCGCGACACAGCGGGTCCCTCAGGGGCTTCGCGCTGCTGGCCACGCCGAGAAAAGTGGCCGGCATGTTGATGAGAGCGAGGATGACGTTGGAGATGGAGAGATTTAGGGTGAAGATCCCCGGCACGTGGGATCGCAACTCTGCGCTCTGGGTGAAGCATAGCAGCACCGAAAAGTTCGTCAAGAGCGCGACAACTGCGGAAACCACGACGGAGCCCTTCAGGAGGAACTGCGGGATGCTCATTTCCTGCAGTTCCGTGTTAGCTGCCTCGGTGGAGGGGGGGACGCTGTGGAGGGTCCTCCACGCGCTCAGCTCCTGCCCACCTCCAGCTGTCACAAACCAGCCCTGCCACATGCCGAACGCCCTCACGCGCGCGGACCGCTGTCCAGTGCTGAAATGTCCAAACAAGGATTTCCTGTCGGTTAAAAATGCATCACAGACAAAGTGGGCAAGCGCTGCTTTTTCACACAACTGCTGACAAAAGTCTCCTTAATCCGAACATTAACAACTTCTGTTTAACCCGGAGTGAAAAGCTACATGCAGATGAGATTACAAACTGAGCTTTCTGTACTTATTCCCGCTCATGCGCACTGGTCGGCCGGCGCCTCCTTCCTCTCTAGAAATACCGTGCGCGAGACACGTGTAGCCGGTGTTTGGCTCATGTGAATTTGAAGAATATTCACACAGAAGCTAAAGTTAAGAAGATAGATGCGGATGTCACGGGGCAGGCATCCCCCGTGACATAACACACACGCGATTATTCACAAAATAAATGTATGTATGTATGTATGTATGTATGTATGTTACAAACATTCCTATTACAAACAATACCCTTCTACATAACACTTTGCCTATCAGCCTATCAGTGGTCACAATGTTCTGCCTGATTGGTTTTCATGCTTGCTCAGCATGAAAACAAAGCTACATTCACTATCTCACACTTCGACTCAAAACAGTATGAAAATAAGCACTGAGGAACTCCTTTACTGTTTTTTTTTAATAAGTGATTTGAACAGTTCATCTGTAGTTTTTTTTTTTATTTTTTATTTACATCTACACCTGGGCTGGTGTCCAGGGTTCACACTGGACAGGTCACAGTCCCATCACAGGACCCTGAAAAATAACATTGAATAAAGTTTATTAAGAGAAATGGCAGATTAACAAGGGGGAAAATTATGTCTAGTTATCTTTAAATCAAATCATGTTTATTAAGCACTTAGTGTTGGTAACACACCAGTTTTTGCTGTTGAAAATGTAGCTAGCTGGTCAGTAAAAAAAAAAAATCCTTCCACCATGAAGACGATGTGGAGGTTCATCCTCAGAGCTAGTTGTTGATCTGGTGGAGTCACAGCTTCTTCTGAGACAGGAAAGTCTTTATGTTTCCTAACACCTGATCTCTCTGGCTTCAGGTGTTAGAACTGAATCTTCATTTGCTTAGACTGCAAAAATATGTTGAAGATAAAAACATTGATGAACAAGTTATAACAACTTCACAATATCAAAGTCATACGGAGCTTAATTAAAACCAGGTTAAGTTTATGAAGAAAAGTATATTAAGTCGCAACAAACAGAGCCTCCATGCAGTTATAACATGAATGATATAGTAATAATCATAAAATTTCACAATAAAATTGATTAAATAATTATTTCTGAAACCAACGTAAGTTTGTTTATATCTTTATTGCACCGTTTATAATTAAACGAAGATAATTAGCAATTTGAACCAAACTTACCACCAGCTAGCAACACGTTAGCAACCTTCGTACCTTCAGTTCGGTTCCTTTCGTGACTCACATTTCATTTCCATCCGGTTCTTGTCCAGTTGTGTTGTCGTCTAACTCCGACTAGGACGTTACATGCTTGAATTTACCAAAACTACTAACTATTATCAAGTCTCTCTCTATTTTTAAGGCAATACTCTGTGAGTAAAAATGGCACATTTGAACAGCGTCTGTTATCTTCTCTGGCTCATGGATTCTTCTTCTTTTCTTTTTATGGCGCTTTTCAAAAAAAAAAAAACCTGAAAGTGTGCAATACCGCCACCATCTGGTCTGGAGTGTGAACTGAAGCTAATGCCGTTCACAATCAGATCTTACATCATATCTGAAAATGGATTCGGTAAAAACAGCTTCCGTGTTTTAGTTAAAAAACTGAAAACAACAGATCGTATTCGGAGAGATGTAAAACTGAAAGGTACCTGCTACATTTAGTTTTAAGGACAAATATTGTTTTTGTTGTAGAACCTCTGTCACTAAACTGTCAATGTTAGATATGTTGAGGCATGAATACATTATTTGTTAAACAACATTAAAACAAGTTCCACTGTTAAGATTATTATTATTTTTTATTCTTTGCCATTTTAACAAAAATAATAAAAGATTATGAAGGCACCTAAAAAGGCATACTTTATTAGTCTAAAGTATACACTGAGATGTAATTTAAAACATACTGAAATTAATAATTTAAAGTAAGCGTTAAGTGAATTTTATAAAATTCTATTTTGAGGATATATTTTAAACTATACACAAAATATCTTTAAAAGATATTTTAAACATATTTAAAATATATTTTAAATGTACACTAGAGCAAGGGTATATTTGCACTTGGGCAAATATATATTTTGTTCACTTAAAGAACACTTTTATTTAATAAATTTTTTTCAAAGCTATAACGCTAAAATTGGTACAAGCATATTTTTTTAGTATACTTCGTATATATTTATAGATAGTGCACTTAATAGTATACTTAAAATATATTTACACAAATGTAAGTATATTTGAAGTATAATAAAGTACTTTTCACTTGGGGCCCATCAGAAGAAATGTTCTTTTGAGGTTAGGACCATACTGTGGATTGAGTTTAGGTTCAGTCTACAATAAGGATTAGCATTAGACAATAGAAATAAATTAAAAATGAATGGGAGTCAATGCAAACTCCTTGTAAAGACAGACAGACATACAATATATATGTGTGTGTATATATGTGTGTATGAGAGGAAGGAGGGGGAATGCAGTGATAACTTGCTGCGCTGCATTTAATCTTCCCAGCCCCCCCTCATGTTTTCAGTTCTTTCTGTCTCCAGTCATTTAATCTTCACCAGTTTCCAGAAGATTGCGTTCAGCGTGTGTCTCTATAATTTAATACCTCTTTTTCCCTTTTGTCATTCTGCTCTGCCCAGTAGGGCTGCTGCCACTGAGCATGTTTATGAAGGAAACCCAACCTGTTGTTTCAGAGACACAAAAGGGAGTGAAATGGTAGGGGAAGAAGGAGGGATGACTCCCCCCTTTTTTCATGGTGAATCCCGCTGAGTGATCACGTGTTGCTGGTCTGGGTTCTGCAAAGCAAGTGACCGATGGCACGGATGATGGAGAACTCCTGCTTCTAGACAGAAAGTCCACGGCGCTCCCCTCTGAGCCACCATACCTCAGGCTGTATGAATACTGAACGCTATGAGTGAGTGCTATTACATAACTCAGTCCCCACAGTTGGCAGCAGCTAAATCATGTTTTTTTTTTTTTTCTGAAATAGCTCAGAGGAGGAGATGTGGTGTTGATATGACGCTTTTGCATTAAAAAACATATTCCACTTATATATATATTTTTTCCCCACCATTAAAATCACACCTTTTTTGGGCTCACTACTGTCCTAGGAGCCCATAGAGGAGCTTGGTGTTGATGTTTACTTGCTCTAGATTTTGCTTTGACTCACAGAGCGGTAGAAAACATGTGGTTCCCTTCTCCTCAATTACTGAAGATTACAGTTCCAGTGTTCTCTGGCTGAGCTTTTTTTGTTGTTGTTTTTTTTGTTTAATTTGAAATGTGTCTTCCAGATGTTCCTATTAGTCCTGTCACATACATTAGATAGTACTCTGTCTAGCTCTTTGATCATTTGGCTAAAAAAAAAAAAAATGCTAAACTGACATTATCCTCTTATATTACTTAAATACAATTAATTAGGCTGGTTTATGAGCCACCATACCTCAGGCTGTATGAATACTGCCAGCTCCTAAACGCCCTCCTGTGTCGTCACCACCGACTTCAGAGACTCACAGCGGCAAAATCTGTCAGGGTGATCAAGTGTTGCTCATATAACGCATAAAACGAGGAACCTTTACTAATTAATAAAATCAGAATTAGAATTTATTCATCCAACACTGCAGATGATTCATTGGTGCACTTCACAAAATTAATAATGTGGAAATGCTGAAGAGCACAAATGCATTTTAGAAATGAACTTAGCATTAGCTAAAGACAGGCTGAAGAACAACAAAGTCAATGTTTTGGAGTGACCGTCACAAAGTCCCGATTTCAGTCCCTACGGAAAATTTGTGCTCAGGTCTCAAATGTAAAACTAGCAAACAAACCATAACTCTGCTACACCAGGAAGAATTCCAGCAAACGTTACAGATAAACTGTAGGAAGCTTGTGGAAAAAGATTTACCGAAGTCATTTGTTTAAAGGCAAGTCTAAGAAATATAATGTATACCTCTACATTAGCAGAAAATGACTAAATATCTCGCAAGATGTTCGCCCTTCTTCATTGAAGCAGCTGGCAAAAAGAAATTATTAGTGTTTTGTCACAATTGATCGGTTTGGTTTGATTTGATGTCGGAAAAAGACAGAAAGATATGGTTGTATTTTTAAGCAGCAAACGCTACCAACTGGTTTCAGATGCATCTGTGCAAGACCTAATAGCGTATCATTCCTCGAAGGTGTGTACGTGTCCTCAGTCCGCAGAAATCTGGACCTCTAGTTTGGTCGCAGCGGCTGTTATCCTCATTAAAAGACTGAGTCAGCTTTATAGCTGCAACACAAGCCAATTAGCCTGTTCCTTCAAGCACTAAGGCTGAGAAACACACATAACAAGTTCAACACACCCACATGAAATTCATCAGCACATGCACTGGCTGCCATACTGCCAATGTGAGCACACACTCCACCCACGCAGTGGTCACAAGATGTGAAAAATGTAGCTGTATTATTCAAGATCCACAGACGCAACGGTTGTGTAAGAAGAAAGGAGGACATGAGGGGAAATGTGGCAGGCTGGGACAGAAAAAGACAAAAGGGAGGGAGTGAGCTGGCTGCTTGCCAGAAGAAACAAACGTTTTCTGTCACACAGACTGTGGCTGTATTTGGACATTTATTAGATTGACAAAAGATTGTTTTACTGTCTCTCAGCATGTAGAGGACTCCCAATTCAAATCCAAAAGTAATTCTCCTAAATTAAGAGTTTTTTTTCCAAATGACCTCAGCTTTTTGTGTAGTTGTCTGACTCATTGTCTCTTTCTTTTTTTTTTCCTTTCTTTATTTTTAAATAAACCTGCTTAGAATCTCCTTTGTCTCCAGCCTCCATATCCGCAAACATTAAAATGAGCATCTCAGCGTGGCCACCTCCACTCTAGCCCTCCAATTCTAGCCAAATGTAGCAGGATTTTTCTCTTTTTAGATTTTCTCTATCAAACATGCAGGTTGTAATTATGTAATTGTACAGGTCAAAAATATCATTTTGACTCTCTCTGCAACAAGTGATGTACATTTCTCCAGACTCTACAAGCTTCGAATACACAGATGCTGAAATCACGGCGCGTTCTTGCCGTGATTTCAGCAAGAAATCACGGCAAGAGCCAGGTTGTAAAGGCTCTCTTTACAACCTGGCTAACTTCAGCCAGGTTGTAAAGAGAGCCTCTGTGAACATCCGTTTTCAAGTCTTACCACAGATTCTTGTTGGGGTTAAGGCCTGGACACATGAATATACTTTGATTTAAATCCGTCCATTGTAACTCTGGGTCTATGTTCTCATCAGATCTTAAGACTTTCACTTTTCAAAACTTATGCTTCGCTCCATGTTCCAATGTGGCTACAGTCTGCCTTGGGTGATGTACAACGTTAGCTTTTCAGGGATCAACGTCGAAGTCAAAAGAAGCTCGACTTTGGTCTCGTCTCACCAGAGCGCCTCGTTCTGCTTCAATGGTCTCAAACTTGGTCTTCAAGCGCGGGTGTTCTCCAGCTTTTATGTTCCTTATGTTGTGCAATTGGATTTTACTCATCTGTGAGAACATTTTCATACTGCTTATGTTTCCCTTGGAAAATTTGATTCACGTCCGTTCTGATTCCCATCTGACTTTCTTTCCTGTTCCACTTTTTTCTGCTAAAGTTTGACTTAGGAAATGAAGCATAAGCTTTGAACGTTAAACCACTTGGTTAGTTTGAGTGAAACTCCCAGTCAGAGTAAACATTTCAAAATATTGAACCTCCAGGGCAGAAACATGTAGCAACGTCCATAACGTCCAGACAGAGAGGCTGCTTAAAATCCCCAAATGCCAAATTATTTATCTAAACGCTGACTAATCGGGAACAATAAAAGCAACAATTGAATTTTACAATAGCAGTAACGGCTAACAGATGTTTTTTTTTGTTGTTTTTTTTCTTCGTATGGTATTCTATTCCACAAGACATGATGAGTGTAAACCAAATACTCAAGCTTTGGTGAAGCCAGAGTTGTTTAACAAATCCTGACATTTGCAATGAGGCTGACGTGAGCACGTCAAACCAATAAAACCGGAAGCTGAGGAAACACAGAAACAAAATGAGTGATAGAAAAGTTATGTTTAAAATAGGAACCACGCTCTGACGATTCAATACAAAAAAAATAGCAGACAGGATTGCTGCAATCCTATTTTAGTTGGATGCCTGCACAAGCCATTAGAAACAGTTACAGCTCAACCGGAAGCCGGGGATGCTGACAGGTAAACCAGCCATGTGTTCAGTCCTAGAATCCATTGTTCTGATTAATACAGAGTCCTCACGGTAGCTTCATCTGAAAACGGCTCATTGTTCTGCGCAGTCCCACAGTAACACTTTCAGTCCGAGCCTGCAGCTCTGCTTTTCAGTCCAACATTTTTCTGATCCAGAACAGGAGGCCGCGCTTTACGTCTCCTGGCTCCCGTTCTCTGGCCGGGTAACAAACCTTAATTCCCTCCGCGCCTTCAAATCCAAGACAAAAACCAAACTGCTTAAGAGGGCTTATAGTTAATTACCTACGGTCTTTTTTACACAGCCATCTATCGTACTGACTGCCTGTACTTGACTTTTAGCATACTGCGTATCTCTTTTCCCAGTTTTGTATCTTTTTTTGTCCAGTAAAAGGACAGTTTTTGTAGTCATACTGATCAGTCAAAGAGCTTCAGGCACATTCACCCACTGGCACTCACAAACGGCCACATTTATGTTGATGCGCGCAGAGTTGGTAGGCTTTTGGGGTGAAGTGCCTTGCCGATGGGTACATTGACATTGATATTACTTTAGATTCATAATATATTGGAAATGGAAATTTCGTTGAATTCTGTTCAGTGACAATAAATGCTATCTATCTATCTATATTTAGAATATTTTTGTCAAATATGTCATCTCTGTAGTCATGTCTGAAGAACAGGCCTCCACGTGGAGCGTAGATTCAGGGGAAAGTAGTTAAGAGTAAAGCTGTATTTAGATGCAGCCATGCTAAATAAAAAAATTAAAAAAAACTACGAATGCTGAAAATGTTACTTTTACGAGCTCTTAAAAGTAATATCTGTGTTTTAAACTGCATGGATAACAATGAGTTGAACTGAATGAAATTAATGAAAAAACGAAGAAGACACAGAGAGTAGCATGCAGAGGGAAGTCTTGCAGCAGAGTCTTATTTCTCTGAAAGACGGAGAAGTTCCAGACCGAATCTCAGTAAAAACAAATTTGTGCTTTCAGTGGAATTCATGGAATTTCAGACCTCGTTAAATCTCAAAGAAGAAAAAAAAAAGAAAAAGAAAAAACTACGTAGCCCGGGGAAAGCACATATTATTGCAAGATTCCCTGAAGTAGCTGTCACCGGCAGCAGTCTGGTGTTGCAAGTCCAGCTTTGCCCCTTAATGTGAGATAGGATCAAATTTGAAAATGAAGACAGAGAAGGTAGAGATTTGAGCAAAAACACTGATTATGAGGCCAAATGGCTGCGCCAAGCTTTGTCCAGTAGTCAAGGCTGTGAGAGATGTGATGATGGTATTGTGGAGCAGGATAGTTGTGGGCTGAGGTGGTGTGCAGATAGCGATCTTAAAAACTTTGTCAGGTTTGCGTTTATTCTCCTCCTTTCGCCATGTGCTGCACGCAGTAGCTCTGATCAGCAAAACAGTGAGTCATTTGGGGGGAGTATTATTCCAGACAGATGGAAGTAGTTAGGGCCTGTGCTACTGTAACGCCTTCACTGAATCGATTTTTTGTTGTTGTTTTTTTTAGACAGTCCAAGCTGTCTGAAGCGCTGCAGCAGTAGCATATGTCCGATGAGTAGTCTGCGCCTTTAACGGTGCAGCAGCCTGAGTGACTTACTGCCAGGACAGTTGATGGAGTTGCACAGACTTTGTTCAGCTCTGCTTACTTTATCAAAGAGAAATCAGGAAATGTGCTACTTGGAATCTGGATGGTAGTTTTTAAAATGATTGGAATCGTAAACATTCTCCAAGATGTTAGTTTCACTTAGACGATTTAGTTTAGAAAACTATTTGGCACCGTGTAAGTAAGAAATATGCACAGGAGGAGCCGTCTTCAGATGTCGGCTGACCACATCTTGAAATCTGGACGCTGCCTTCAAGACTTAAGTGCTGTCCGGCATAACCTCTGGAGTTGTTTTTATGTTTTCTCGTTCATGCATTACAATTTAGAGGAGAATGGAAAAAAAAAAAAGGTTAAGGTCATTTAAAGGTATAATCTGACTAAACATCCACAGGATTGTGTGCATGGATTAATTTAGAAAATCATAATAAAAATTTATTTGACTACATACTATTGGTCACTTTTTATGGTCACTTTTAGGGCTTCATTGTATTAAGAAAACTTGCAGTGGCGATAATATTGGTAAACTGTGCAATGATGTCAGTTGTGATGTGTGTCTAAATGATCATTCTTTCCTCTCTGAGGCTCTGTGAAGCATTCTTCCTTTTAAATTTTTTTAAATCTTCACGAAAATAAACAAAACAACCATTACATGTCCAGCCAGAAGTCGCATATTCATGACATGGCATCCAGCCGGGTGTAATTTAACCTGAGTATTAATGCAGCTGTT